CAGAAGTCAAAAAAAAAAATTATGAATCAGAAACGATTTAGGAGGAAACTTATAGTGGTGCACAAGGTCGAAAACGTAAAACTTTTCAAGCTGCACATGTCTTACCTTGGCTTCAAACACAGATTAAAGCAAATTTTGCTAGTCAGTCAAAACGAGAACAGATAAAAGCTTGATATTTTGAGAAAACCATTCCATGCGCAAAATATTTGTAATGCCGCTATCTTTTCTGCGTTTTAAATAGAAACAACTCATGAGGGAGCGTTTCGTAGAGATTTGGAAGCAGAAGAGCAATAGGCCACAGCTCGAGATAGCTGACTGCAAATAATCGTGTTGCGGCGTTTTAAAAAAACATTCAAATACATATAGATAGTTTCATTTTGCTGTGTTTCTTTCAGCTACTGGGTGTCACTTCGTAATCTTGTTCGCTCACTTATGAACTCAATGCGTTCCATTATATCGTTGTTGTTCCTCCTCTTCTTGTTCATTCTTATTTTTGCCTTATTGGGTATGCAATTGTTCGGTGGCAAGTCAGTTTCTCCATTCATTTGTTTTCAGTTGCCAGTTAAATACAAGCAGAGGGAAGCAAATGAAATCAAATAAAAAATGAATTAAAAAAGTCACAGTCGCAGTGTTATTAAATTATATTGCTTCCTTTTTTTAATATCCTAATGGTTCTTGATCCAGTTTTGCTGATTTCAGATTCAATTTTCCAACCGGACACCCCTATACTCATTTTGATACATTCCCAGTGGCCTTAATCACTGTCTTCCAGGTAACATTTTGTTTTTGTTAATGATCAACATCACTAATTGGCAATATTTAGCTTTTTTTGTTTTTTGGGTTGGTTACCGCACTGGCAGAGTCGAGCCTTCGGCGACAGTGATACCTCATCACGCCGTGTTTGCTGTCATTTAACTACCATTTTTCGAAAAACACTTTCAGGATCTGAAAAACATTTTCTGGGTCCAATTCAGCGAGTTGATTGCTGCAGTTAGGAAAAGTTATGCGAAGATGTTCAAAATATCCATACACTGTATTGAGTGCATTGAGTAATTTCGTTAAGTATGACTATGACTCGTCGGCTTCTAAATCGCTTTATCGATCTCTGTGCAAAAAATTGGCCAACGCACGGGCTGCCCGTGCGAAGATGCGTTTTTTGCAGAGTTCCCCGCA